GTGTAATAGTCACTTTAGTGTCTATATTGTACTGGTTGGCTGAAAGAAAGTCTGCCTTGTAATCTCTTAAACTTAAAGAATTCAGGCGAGACTATACGAGACTATGTGTGGCCATGCGAGACACGCGAGATCCCTGTCTTGCATCCCTTGATTCTCGAAGCAACAAAATATAGCTTTGGTTTGAAGTTAACTCTGAAACCAAATCTCGGTGACTGTGATTTTTCTCAATGAATCTCAGTATCCCGATATGATTAACATTATGTTTATATCACAACTACCAATGTCAATTTCATCTGACAACGTGCCAGTTTCACCTGGCGCCATGTCCATTTCATTGTTACGTGTCTCAGATTGCACTTTGTACAAGATTGAAGGTGTAAATATCGCCTGTATATAACCCGAACCGGAGTGGAGAACAGTTTAATCATATAATCTAAATCATGGAGGAATGTAACTTATTGAGCCTTGTTGAGGCTATCCGGTGGTTGTAAGTATGAGCACAGATCAAATCATTACCGGTGAAGTACCTTTGGTTGCCCACAACAATACGTTACAAGAAACATGTAATACAGGGCCTAGATTTTCGAAGCTCTCTTAGCGATAAGATAGTCGTAAGTGCCATACATTAACATTAACTTACGACTATCTTACGACTGAGGCGCAGGTAGGCCCAAAAAACTGACTGTCGGTGACAGGAGGCGGCTTGGTATTCTTGTTTCTAAAAACAAACGAAGGAGTTTAGAAAACTTAAGGCTGAATATGATTGACAGAGGAACTGTGGTTGTCTGTAAGGAGACAATTAGAACTGAGCTGCATGCAATGGGTTGGCAGAAAAGTCGAGGAATGCCATCACCGATCAAGAAACCTGAACAAAAGGAGCGAAGGTTGAACTGGTGCTTACAGCATAGAAATTGTAACTGGCACAATGTGATTTTCTCAGATGAAAGTTCTGTGTGGCTGTTTCCTAATACACTGAAATTCTTGACCAAACAAACTGAAAACCTTTGTATCAGCGCCCAAAGTACAGTCCGAAATTTAACGTGTGGGGTGGTATATCTATGTTAGGGGCAACGCCCCTCTGTGTATTTGAAGGGAATATGAACAGTGAGCGGTACACAGATATTCTCGAGGGACATTTACTTCCATCTGCTCACGTGTTCTATGGAAATTGTTGGATTTTCCAGCAGGACAACGACCCAAAACATCGTTCAAAGCATTCACAGGCCTGGTTTCGGACCCAAAATATGACATTATTAGATTGGCCAAGCTATAGCCCTGACCTAACTCCAATAGAAAATGTTTGGGGACTTATGAAGGAAAGTGTCAATAAGAAAAATCTGACAAATATCGCTGAAATGAAAGAAGAGGTAATCCGATATTGGGACAGCATGGACCACGACTTTCTAACTTCTTTGATCAGTAGTATGCCCCGCCGCATTGAAGCCTGCATTGCTGCCCATGGCGTCTTGACAAAATACTAACTGTTCACCTGTCTTTGAATCTGGAGTTATGTTCTGCTAATATTCACATTTAATACGTGAGTAATGAGTGAATTTTTGTTTAAGATTACAATCTTTAAATTCTCAATAATTTCTGGTTTAACTGTACTTTGTACATACATTTTAGGGACGGGTCATTCACATTGTATGCATGCTTCTCCATAACAAGCATCATAACCCCAACACACACACACACCCCACCCCCTAGCCATACATTATGAACGGTCCCTTAAATAGATACACTTTACTCCTGTCATAACATTTGTTGCAAGAATTATGTCCGATCCAATTCCATATTTTGACTTGTGCCATAAGTCACCTTTTTCTGGTGAACAATTGACTAGACTTTGGATATGTATATGACGTGTGCCACTGGTGGGGCGGGATATGCTCACCTTTTCGCGAGCACCTTGCATCATCGCTTTGTTGATATGGATTCAAAAACATGTGGTTATGACATAGCCGGAACTGTAAATCCCTTTCAGCAGGGATTACTTCTGAATGCAGAAAGGGTTTTATCGCTTCTATTTACCTATCTTATTCATTTCAGTAGACGTCAAGTCTGCGAAAATATGTCCTACTGAAAGCAAGTTAAAAAAATTTATTTAAAAGGCCTTGCATTTAATAATAATATTAGCCGCGGTAGATTAATTATATCCATATCAAACGTCAGGATGTTCTTCAACATCTTTCAGAAGGATGTAAACATTAACCGCACATTCAGTTCTTAAACATTGTAATTCTAAATGATGGTAGTATTATTATGGATCAGCTCGTTGTACACAGACTGTGACGATTATTCCAAGTTTTGATCATTCATAAATTAATCCTCATTGCAATGTGTTCTGTATGATCATGCTTCGACCAACTCTGAACTTCATACACTATGCTGTTAGTATCATAACGACCCGTGAAGATCCGGCTTAGAATTGATCTTCAGTAAACCATGCTTGTCGTAAAAGGCGACTAACGGGATCGGGTGGTCAGGCTCGCTGACTTGGTTGACACATGTCATCGGTTCCCAATTGCGCAGACCGACGTTGATGATGTTGATGACTGGCTTGTGTGGTCGAGACTCGATTATTTGCACACCGCCGCCATATAGCTGGGATATTGCTGAGTGCGGCGTAAAACAACAAACCAACCAATCAACATACTCCTTAAAGGGGCGTGAACAATAACGGTTTCATCTCTATTTTGAACTTAAAATATCAAAGTTCAAAGTACAGAATGAGGATACATTTTGTAAAACTACACAAACAAGGTCTTTAATAAGCTGCCACAAAATGTACATTCGAAAATTGGGTTTACCAAACCATTGAAAACGGTTTTGAACTGATAAGGCAGAACACGCACATTTAATCTTAAGGTCGAAAAAAGACAACTTTATTACACTCGTATGAAATACATCAGCATTGAATTACGCTTCCTTGTTTGTTTCATGTTCAGCCACCATCAAAACATATGTGTATACTTTCTTGACGCGGTTTGTTAGAACAAAACTTATCAGTGGAACAAAGCCAAAAGGGCATGGAATGTTTTTAATACACGTATTCAGTGACTATTCGTTCATTTCCTATCTGCATTCAATTGATGTGAGCTGAGACAAGAGACTTGAAACAGTAGTTCACTTCCGAGGTAAATACCAAACGATGAATGTGGGTGGAGTAGTTTAGAGCAGAGATTCAGTGCAGGTCCGTTCCTCAGTCTCTGTGGGTGGTACAGAGCTGGATGTATGAAATACACAATGCCATTTTAGAAAGTGGTCAAATGTAACATATGTTATATTTGGGATTACACGGCCGTGGGAGCCGTGCCAATTAACACTCTGAGAATCCCGGATGGGACTCAACCCCAAAAGTACTAAAATCTGTACTTTACTAAGAAAGTGTAATCCCAAATATAACATATGTTTCATTTGACCACTTTCTAAAATGGCATTGTGTATTTCATAGCTTTCGGCCTTGGGAGCCGTGCCAATTAACACTTATCAGAGGGGTACACAAAGTCCGCAGTCTAGACTGCCAGTTGTCCGACTTCCATTTTTTGTGGAAGCCGCGGTGGCTGAGCGGTCTAGGCGTCTGACTGTGTGCTGGCGATAAGGTGCCTGACTGTGAGGGTGCGGGTTCGAATCCCGGATGGGACTCAACCCAAAACGTACTAGAATCTGTACTTTACTAAGAAAGTGTAATCCCAAATATAACAATAACCGCTTTTAACAATATTTCAGCAATATCACGGCGGGGGACACCAGGAATGGGCTTCACATTGTACCATGTGAGAAATCGAACCCAGGTCTTCGTGACGAGCGAACGCTTTAACCATTAGGCTACCCTCCGCCCCGGGTGTAGTTTACAAATATACAGACTTATTTTAGGGATGTCATACAATTTACAAATAAAGTTTTCAGGTTTCTGTAAGCAGGCTCAGTATAGTCAACGTTTTTGTGATTATGATTTTTTAAATGACGCATTTTCTGTATAATTAAATTGCTGATGTATATTTTAGCTTCGACGAAAAAATATACGCAATTTAGTGATTCAAGCTAAGTAACGACTGTGCTTTTTACTTCAAAACCTCCATATACGCGTCACATGTTTTGCGTTTATGAGAGTTTAAACGATTTTTTTTAATTTAACACTTTCCTTGCTTAAACATTAACACACAACAAAACTGTACATAGCAATGCGAACTCAGTTTCTTCATAGTCTGTTAGCGTCAGGAAACAGTCCGTTAGCTGGCGTGACCTGATTCTAGGTTTAAACATACACGCAAATAATTGTTCCGTTAGTCAGTCAAACGCCTCGGTTTGATCTATTGTGTTTTACCTATGTCCTACTGCGCCACACTGTTTGGAATAAGGGATACATGTGGTACACATTTCTTGATACACGTGACAAGGTGACGTTGCTGGCGCAAACTGTGATAGAAAGGGTCAAGGTCACTCAATCTGTATATTATTTTCAAAATAGCAACCACACAACAAAAAGTCAAAATTTGAATGAAAACAACTGTTCCGCATGACAGATATAAACAATTTTATTTTCACGTCATGAACTTGCTTAGTACAGACACATTATTGGGTGAACTATCAGTGTGCAAATCGGGACGTTGCACACATATCTACATGCACTTGGGACACTATTTGTTCCCAACATATTTTCATGATCTAGTATGTAACCAAATTGAGGTGCAAACGCTTAAAATGTTGTGTGGTCCCGTTATCTCATTGTCTATACTACTATATTTTTATACACTATTTTGTTAAAAACGTAAGCACTCATCCATTAACAACCAGATCTGACAGAAAGGAAAACTGTCAAACTGGTTTAAACGTCAATGCGCAGTGTATAAATATGTCGGTCTTCTATTTGACATCATTTTCCCCGATACGGATATAAAATTTAATATCGCTTGGTGAGGTGAAACCATTAAATATGTTGTTTCCAAAAGTAAACGTATGTGAAATATGTATCTCTGACAGTTATCTCCCCTTTACAGATGACCAATCGTAGCCTGAAGGCCACGTCAAGATGGCGTCCACGAGCCGCTCCCAAGATAAGCTGACAGGGAAGAGATCGTTTGAGGAAGAACTGGAGGTGATAGAGAATGGGGGTCTCAGTCCTCAGCCCTCCGTCCGGACTGAAGACGACGCCTGTTCGGAGATCCTCCGCATTGAACAAAAGGCGGCGGCGGAGGAGAAATACCGTAACTCCGCGATGGGGAGGATCGTCCGTACGCTACAGGTGAGATGCAACGTAAGTTGGAATGCCGCCTTACTTCACTTCCCGTAGAATAGAGTCCAGGAGCCAGATTGCGTGAAGGAAATCCTCGATAAGTCCACGTAAAGCCCTGATCGAGAGTAACTTCACACAATCCATGTCACCCTGGAACGAGTGAGATGCATGCATGAAGAATTGGACTGGGGTCTATCTGAAATTGTTTAGCCATAATGTTTTTATTTTCAAGAATCTTTTAGAGTTCATTAACAGTTTTAATGTTTGATTCAAGTGTTCTGACGTTATATGTATATATTTATCAATTGCCTGAGTATTGTACGACGTATTTCCGTATTTCCGTCGAAGATCAATATTTGTGCTTTCGAACGGAAACATTGGATTTGAGAACTCCTAAGTTGTATATCCCAGTTCCGTCTTCATGTCATGCAACAAACTCATGCTATTGTGATGGAAAGTAAGGCCCTGTCAACAGTGCATATTTTGTTCTATATTTTGATATTTGCACTGCAAGGTATTTTTAGCATCCGTAGATGGTTCCTGAATCAGCGCTGGTGATCTCTTCCTTCATCGATTACTTTGTGAAGTGTTCCATAGATTTGTTATTCTGCAGAAACGATTTCAAAAGCTCACAGGTATTCATTCGGTGCCTCTTCACTTCATAGACCCTAGGTCGAACGGATGTTTATGAATATTTAATGAATTTCCCATCATTAGTGGTCCAACTTTCCATCACTAGTCGTTTCATGAAACTGACTGGCTATCGACAAACTTAATGTATAGGGGCTTGAATTTAGATATCATCGACAAAACGATATAATATTCTGAAGAAAATAAATAAATCTTACACTAATGTTATAGCAAAACAGCTATAACAATCCGGTATTACGAGATTCGTGAAAGAAAAGGAAGAAGAATCATGACTCGTTTATTTTATTCATGGAATAACAACAAAAGACACAATATATATGGATTTCCTATTGAGGATATTATTTTTACGTTAAGCCAAAATGTTTCGAAACGCCTCGCATTTATTTGCATTGAATTCATGCATGTTGTTTTGCAACTGATGCCTTGGACGTGACCAAACCGTGTACGCTGTTGATGGGTTTACTTAGAGTTATATATGAAACTGTTTCTTCTTTAATGTACCGTTATTCCTCGGCGTCCTTGGACTCCGTCATCACTGTACAACAGTCATTTACAATGCAAACACATCAGGGGTATATTATCGCTTTTCCATTAGGATAATACCAGGAACTATTGGGATAATACCAGGAGCCATTGGGGGTAATGCCAGGAACCTTTGGGGTAATACCAGGAACTTTTAGGGTAAATATCAGGAACCATTAGGGGAATACCAGGAACCATTGGGGGAATACCAGGAACCTTTAGGGTAAATATCAGGAACCATTAGGGTAAATATCACTAACCATTAGGGGAATACCAGAAACCATTGGGGGAATACCAGGAACCTTTAGGGTAGATATCAGGAACCATTAGGGGAATACGAGGAACCATTGGGGCAATACCAGGAACCATTAGGGTAAATATCAGGAACCATTAGGGGAATACCAGGAACCATTTGGGGAATACCAGGAACCATTAGGGTAAATATCAGGAACCATTAGGGGAATACCAGGAACCATTGGGGCAATACCAGGAACCTTTAGGGTAAATATCAGGAACCATTAGGGGAATACCAGGAACCATTAGGGAAATACCAGGAACCATTAGGGAAATACCAGGAACCATTAGGGGAATACCAGGAACCATTAGGGAATACCAGGAACCTTTAGGGTAGGATCAGGGTAAATATCAGGAAACCATGAGGGGAATACCAGGAACCATTAGGGGAATACCAGGAACCATTAGGGGAATACCAGGAACCTTTAGGGTAAATACCAGGAACCGTTAGGGGAATACCAGGAACCATTAGGGGAATACCAGGAACCTTTCGACAACAAAGTCCTATTTGGAAGCATAAAACGCCAATGCCAGATAATAATTAGTCTCCGAAACAAATTCAGGCGCAATGGGAAAATAGCGGTGAATTTTTTCATGGATGGATCACATTAAATCTATGATTACACCGGCGAAATTATCATTTTCATCTTTATTATCGATAACACTTCTTTTTTCTTCCCTTCATAACTAATTTGAATTGACGGGTAGTTTATGCAGAGTATTATTTAAATTGGGCTCAAAAACGTATTTTCACAATTGAGTGGAGATTTAATGCACTTTAATACACTGTATGATTAATGATGAACCCACAGCCTTGGAGAGCCTTTTTCTGCGTGTAATACGCCATCTGTATTTTTAAGTAAACTGTGCGTTATTAACAATGTGCAAAGGAACAATTAATGGAAACTCAGACAATGCAGGCAGTTTTAGATCAAACGAGAGTTTCTGAATTTTGTATATAGAGCAGTGTGTGATCAGGATTGTGATAAAGCCAGGCTTTGGGAGATCGGGTAAAGAACATACTTTGTGAAGAGCGTCATTAACCTATGTCCACACGGTAATGGGTCCAGGAATAGATTCAACTGTTGGTACATTCATGGTGAATCAATAGCCAGGTGACATCTTCTGAAACATTCTGGTAGTATTGTTGAAGAAACAGTTTTTCTTATAATTCATCTTCTTATGTCAACACATCCCGCTACAAGTTCCCACCATCCTCAAAACAACCTCACTACGATATCCCCACAGCAAAGTCCGACTATGCCACAGGAATGTTGTGATCCCACACAGCTTTCCAACAACCCTACACAACAACAACATCCCCCGACCTTCCTCCCTCACAGGGACAAACCTTAACCCCGACCACCCTCACAGGTAACCCCCAGCACCCACACAGATAACCCGACATCCCTCACAGGTAACCTCGACAAACCTCACAGGTAACCCCGACCTCCGTCACAGCAAACTCCGACCTCCTCACAGGTAACCCCAACCTCCCTCGCAACAAACGCCGACCACCCGCACAGGTAACCCCGACAAACCTCACAGCAAACTCCGACAAACCTCACAAAAAAATCCAACCACCCTACATCCAATCCCGACAACCCCTCACACCAAACCCTGACAACACCAAATACCGAGCATGACTGCAGCTGGATCAACTATCCTAATCTTGTCACTTAACCCATATCATCATGTTTTAGTGTGTAAGTTTATCGAATGTGTTAAATAATTCTACAAGTACAACCACATAGAATTTAAGTTTCAGGTTTTCCAATTACTCTCCTCTATTTGAACAAGGATAATGTTTGCGTTAGTATCAGAAAGTATTAACAGTTATACTGCATACCGAACCAATGCCATGTCTGTAATGATACCGTTTATCTCACGATCGGGGATGTTTGCGCAAACATGCTGCGTTTCCATTACGTTTTGCCGTGTTATGAAAACCATCGTCAGAATGCACTGGTCTGATAGTGGAGGTTGCTCGCTCACTAACCACGAATATAAACTTCCAGGCAGAGGGAAGCATATACTTGAAAACGGTATCTGACCAAACAGTCATAAACGTTATCAAAACGTTTCACGGCTGAAAACAATCGACAAAACGGTGCAGGCGTAAGGTCAAAACATCAATGTGGTATATATCAGATACACCATCGTCGAATGACCATGTTTGATGGTTTAAATCTTAACCACTATCCCACATGGATGTGCAGTTTGTGTTTGAGGCAGTTTGTCTGCGAACTAAAATAAGCCAATTTGAAAGGTGTTTAAGTGTTCAGTAATGGTCATATGTATATGTACAAACGTGGTCTTGTCGCTATATGGCTGAAATACTGCCGAAACGACGTAAAATCTTAACTCACTCACTCACTCAATAATGGCCAAACAGAAATTCCCGTTTGATTTGCCCACCATTCGAAATAGAAGAGACTAGTGACTAGTCATATCAAGACGGGGCGGGCGGTGGGGTAGCCTAGTGGTTAAAGCGTTCGCTCATCACGCCGAAGACCCGGGTTCGATTCCCCACATGGGCAGAATGTGTGGACGCCCATTTCTGGTGTCCCCCGCCGTGATATTGCTGGAATGTTGCTAAAAGCGGCGTAAAACTAAAAACTCACTCAGTCAGTCAAGACGGGGCGATGGGGTAGCCTAGTGTTTGAAGCGTTTTCTCGTCACGCCGGGTTCGATTCCCCACATGGGTACAATGTGTGAAGAGTATCCACAAGACTATATGATAAGATGGTTGAAATCAACTTTCAAACGGTTCTACATGTACGAAGATTTTACATAGCATCATACGACTCTTGTTACGTTGCATCAATCAATGCCTTGGTAGAACCTTCACAGCTTGTTGCAGTAGACATAATGATAATACAGAATTACTTGTTTTGACAAATATCATATGTTCCCATGTTGTTTTGATGATAGATTGACTTGGCTTGCGTGTGTTTGTAACGTATGCCACCGTTGGGACAGTATACTCTCACCTTTTCCCGAACACCTGATATTGTCATCTTTTGACAGTGATTTATAAACACACGTGCATGATCAAGTTGGAATCATACAATGGACTCTGCTTTTAGCACAGTTTGGTTTGTGTAGCACACAGAAACGTTATTTTCATGCTGTCAGCGAATGAATCAATCTGAACCAAGGTTGAAGTTAGTGCGATCTTGTATATCCAAACACAGTTAACGTTGACCGTGTTCAACCTCCCACTTCAAGGCACCACACGAGGGGGGGTAGCCTAGTGGTTAAAGCGTTCGCTCGTCACGCCGAAGACCCGGGTTCGATTCCCCACATGGGCACAATGTGTGAAGCCCATATCTGGTGTCCCCCGCCGTGATTTTGCTGGAATATTGTTAAAAGTGGCGTAAACACCAACTCACTCACTAACTCACCCCTCATCCACCATGCGCTCAATAGTCACAGCGATTGAGTGAATTTAGTTTTACGCCGCTTTTAGCAATATTCCAGCAATATCACGGCGGGGGACACCAGAAATGGGTTTCACACATTGTACCCATGTGGGGAAT